TGAGTGTTAGAGGCCGTGATCTGAAATTGCCAAATTTGTTTTGAATGAGTGACTAATAGACCATGTTTTACATTCTGCACTCTCCTACCTTTATAATGACAATGTAGGTGACCTGAAAGTTAACCAGTCTTCTAGATTTCTTTCAGTTTAGGTACTATCAGGGTATAGGTGATGTGTAGTGATGACCATGGATCCAGCTATAGATTTAAAAAATAACACATATATTACTCATGGACTTGATTGACAGATAAATGCTGTGTAGAACAGAGGCTGCTGTCATCACTTTCAAAAGAGGAAAAATGGCTGTAATTCAATGTTTAACTTTTGGATGAGCGAGAGGTCTGCTCTTCTTTTTTCTTTTCTTTTTAATGTAGAGAAAAGCCTAAATTCAAGATAAGAACAACCAGCAGTAAATATATTTGAAAGCAATAAAATTGACTGCTGTATTCACTAAATTGTACATTTCCATCTTTAGGTCAAATAGCCAATAGGAAAAAAATATCAAGACAGTTATGTTTTCAGTTTTGCTATTTGACCTTAAATGCGTATATTGCCCTTAGAAATCAGTGTGAAGTCCTGACAATGCAGTCGTAAGTGAAAAACCCTGTCAATCTATAAAACTGAAACAAATGTCTTTATTTACTGTATAGTGAGTTGTGGTGAGCTTACAATTTGTAATGTGATGTAGGAGACATTAAAATAAATGCTATAAGCCAGTTCTCAAGTAATCACTATTTACAGGCCCCCATTTATTTATTTTGTAAAAGCTATAAAAAAAAAAAAAGACTGCATGATCACTCACTTAGTAGAGGCCTTAGAAGAAAAAGCACTTTTGTGTACATTTAAAAGAGGATATCTGGGTCTGTGGAGCACAACTGAGACTGTATATAGTCTTATGTTTTGCATATTAACATAGTACAGATCTGTTAATGAAAATTATATGACACTTGCCAAATAAGGTACACATGCAAAAAAAATGTATTTCTATGACATTTTTTCATATTACCCTGATCACTATTCTAATTCCACTTTATGGATCACGCGATTTTTTTTTTAGGGGTGCACGTTTCATGATGGATCTTTTTTTAAGGGAAAACAACAGATATAAATCTAAACACCAACAAGAATACTTCATATTCAAGAATATTATCACCATAATTCAACATTTGTCACAGCAAAGAATACAGTGCATCCTAATGCTTACAAGCTGATTCCGATTAATATAATAGTCATATACATACATGTGTTAAATTTATATATCTGTATGTTTATATTATTGTGTATTTTTAACATTATATTTACACTATTGTAACAATGCAGTGTTTGTGGACCCAGGACATACTCAATGTATCCTTCCTGGTAAAATATTTTATAAATAAATGTGTGCGTGTGTACCATTCATAGTATATATATATTTGCATAACATCCTTAGAATACACAAATGCTCGTTGTGATGACCTAAACTGCATAATTAGACATGCCATAAATTGCTCACATGCTGCTGGCTGCATTACCAACATTACTAGAGCCTAATGGATAACATAAGTATGATTATTACATTGTTTATAGAGTTAACAGCTGTCATTATGTGTCTATCGACATACCTGTATGTAGCTTGTCAGCATTTCTTATCTGCTCATCTGGAACCAGTTGCTTTTAAGATGGTTATACACAAGTAGTTGGAAGAATGTCTTTTATCTGATGGTCGTTGTGGAAGCTATCAGTCTTGTGTTTTTCTTCTCAGTAGGTAATGTTTATGATTGAGGATCTAAAAGGAGATGGAAACTGGTAGTACTCATTACAAAGTGATGATGTCTCTAATGCTTCACTTTTTCCCCTTACTCATATTTTTTCTAAATAATTCAGCTATTATTGTAGTTGCTGTGAGAGGTTTTTGTGGGGTATTTTTCTTTCTTCCAACCTTACTGCCAATAAATTCTAATTTTTGCCATCAACCTCCTCAAAAGAATAACGCATGTTACGAAATTTCATCCCTTAACCCCTTAAGGACACATGACGTGTTACATGTCATGATTCCCTTTTATTCCAGAAGTTTGGTCCTTAAGGGGTTAAAGAGTTTTATACCTGATATTGGATAATAAACGCTATGAGTTGGCACTGAGACAACAATCTTCTATCAGTGAAAATATTAAAGAGGCATATTTCCTACAATTCAAACCCTCAATTGACCAGTTCTGATATTTAATTTTATAATTGTGTTATATATTGCATATTACACACCCTCAGTAACTTTGTATATATTTTGAAATATTGTTGCGCTGATTGTGCAATTGTTCTTGTTAATGAAAATCGTATTGTTTGAATCCGAACATTTGAATGGATGTTTTATCCCCCTTTTTTGCTCTCCCCTTTTTTATTTTCTGTCCCCCTTTTTTATAATTTTTAAATGTTTGTAAAAATTTTGACAAATCATTTTATTTGACTATTAAAAAAAGTAGCATTTTTAAATTAAATGGATGTTTATAAATAATACATAATTAAATGTAAAATATGAAACATGAGTAAAACTTCTTTGCCAACCAAAATATCTAACTTAAATCTTTCTTATATGAATAAGAACATGTGCAACATAAAAATTAATAAAGCCATGTTGAAAGAATTATGTGATTGCTTTTTCTAAATATGCAAACACATTTCACACTTCATTCTACATTTGCTCATGTACTTTTAGCAAACCAAACCAAAAAGAAATCAAGCTTGAATGAGACCCAAAAGGACCACAAAGCAACCATACCTTGCTCCGTTTCATCCTATGGGACCCAAAAGGATGAAACTGTGCTGTCAGTGGATGGGTGTTGTGTTTGGATAGGTTACATCTGTGTTTAACCCCTTAAGGACCACACTTCTGGAATAAAAGGGAATCAGGACGTGTCACACATGTCATGTGTCCTTAAGGGGTTAAAAGGGATCTGTAACATCTCTGGAAATTTCACCATTGAATAAACCATTATAATTATCTATACCTTGTGTTCATTAATTCTTGTGATGTAGGTTTAGGGAATAACAAGAAACTATAATGGAGGCACTTAATTCCAGGGTCAAGGTAGATACAGCTTCTATGGGTTCTTACATTTTATTATATTTCATAGACCCCACAAACACATATTTGTTAAATATAGGAGATAAGCAAATATAATATAAAAACCCTGGGAAGGGACAATTACCTTTTAAAACAGGGCTCGAATGCTAAAATGGTACCTAGAGAGATGTGATATTAATCTGATGCCTGTCTATGCTCATCTGAGTATTCAGCAAGGTATTCTGGGAGAATATTGGAAACTCCATCTGTCATTACTATTTTGTCCAAGAAATACTGTTTCCACGGCCCACCTTTTAATATGTAAGACTTGCACAACCGTATTATAATTTTTTTTTAATAAGAAAGATAAGCTATAATTAGTAATGTATACCGTAGGCAAAAAAAAAGTTTATAAATGTGTATTTACAACTTTTGCATAATTCATTCTGATATGTTGTACACGAGTGAACATTAATCACTTTGGCTCACAAGTGGAAGCATATAAGGATTTTACTGCAATCATTCTGGAAAGGGATGGTTTGCAGCTATTTTAGACTAAGAATTACAATTCCCAATAATTTCTGCTTTAGTGAATACTCCAGTTAAGGACACCTTAATGCAGATGATATATGAATGAAATGCATGTCCCCTTTTTACCATAAATTATTTCTCCTTAATGCATGTAATGTATAATTAATTAATCAGAAAAAAAGATAATTGTGTTCTTGTATTTTTAAACAATCAATATAGTCATACTATCTAAATCTAATAGTAATTATTTGGGGACTCTCCACTCTCCGCTATTTAAAAAAATAAAATAAAAGAATCCTTATTTAGTAGATTTAGCCCTAATCAAAACATGTACGCATTTAATTTTGCACATTTAAATTTTTCATCTAAAACAGCTTGCATAAGCTGCAGATCTCTTGTCTGCATTACTTTGTAAGGTAGGTGCTCTGGGCATTTGAATCCCTCTTAAGTTTAGCTCCACTGAGCTAAGCAACCATAAAGTAACAGGACAGGATCTCTGATTGACAACCTTGGAAATCTGCAATTTTTGACAAAAAGAGGCCACACTATTCACACAATGTTTTAGGTGTTTGAAGTGTTCTTTTAAATAATATGCTACTCTGTTTTTTTTTTTTTTTTTGTGTGTCTGCACAATTTTTTATATGTTGTTAGAACATACCATAATAGTGAAAACATGTTAGAACATAACGTGAGGGAAGCAGTCAAATAGGTAGGTCGATTACTGTGTGTCATGTTAGGTAGTGAGAGGTCAGGCTGCTATAGAATAGTTAATTAGTGCGTCAAGATTGAATATCTAGTGGCGTTGTTATTTTAAGGCAATATAAGTAACAATCTCAGCAGAAAAGGTGAGGGTCGGTCTAGGTGTCATGTGTTTCATAGCCACTGAGTGGCCTGTATGAATGTGAGCGTCAGCTTGAAATGTTTGTAAATAGGTTGGTAATGAAAGATAACAGGATTCGCATTGCAAGCTTGGGTTATATACAGAACATTTTGGGAAGTACGTGCTTTTCTATTCGTCCATGACGGTGGTGTGAGTCTAAGTCCTACGTATATAAGATATGCTAGGCACTAAATAGTTGTCCGTTCCAGGCATGTAAGATTCTGTGTGTGTATAGTGCAGCGCTGGTCTTTGCTTGAAGTGGTGCTGCCCTATAGGAGACATATGAAGGGGACTTATGTTCGTGTAGTGTGTCTATGCCCCTGCGCTGCCAGTTCCGTCCCTCCAAGATTAAAGAGTGGAGCTTTAAGAGGGTGTGAGGTAGGTTGGGCTTAATGGTAGGAGTGTCAGCTGCAGTCTTGCTGAGGGCATCATTATAATGGCAGTGTAGTCAAAAACAGATATGTTAACCATAAGATAAATGTCGAACAGAAAGTAAATGTTAAACATAAAGTAACATGTGGCAATTATTTCTGAAGTTGTCCCTGATTGTTATTTTGGGTACCGCAAGTGTCCTTTGCGTGATGTGGGTGTCCCTATGGGTTGTTTAGCTGATGCCCCGCAGTGTGAGGCTGCTGGGGTATAACTGCTAGTGTTGTGTGAGGGACCTCTCGATCCGGGGTTCTCGATATTGGGCCCGCAGTTCTGTGATGGTCGGTAAGTGTGGCATGGGACAATGCCACTCTGAGGGATGCCGGATGGAATGTCTGTGGAGGGGTTAAGGCCCAGCACAAGGGGGGGGGGGGACGTGCCGTCCCTGCTGCTTGGTTCGAGCCCATTGGCTGCTGGGTGTGTGGGGGGCTTGTAGCTCGAGTCGTGGAGTGGGTCTTTTTCTGCCCCATTGATTAGTGAGAGTCTGCTGTGCTTCTTCTGATTGTCCTTCCATATCAGGTGGTCTCTTGGTTGCCTTTGTCTGTGGTTGTTTCCAGCGTTGCACGGGCTTGTGCTGTCTGTGTGCTGCGTGTCCTTGGCCTGAGGCCTTGACGGGGACTTGCGCCTTTTTGCCATAGATCCTTTTTCGGGGGTCCTGGGCCCAGGGATTTCTTCTTGCTCTTAAATATGCTTCTTGCACCTGCTCTCATGCAATACAGCTCAGCCTGCACATGAAGAAAGCACACTTCCTGTTCTCCTTCTCAGCAAGCAGCGGCGCAGCAGCAGAGCTGCCCAAAGCTCAGAGCTGCTGGGTCAATTGGAGAAGAGCGGGCTGTACTTTGACTTCACCGTTATAACCCAGCGAGATCTCCTGAAGCAGCATCTCTCAGCAGGATTCCACCCTCTATGACCCAGGGTAAGCATCAGGGAGGGGGGAAACAAACTTGATCTATCTTTTCAATTTTGAATTAAAGGAGCACTACAGGGTCAGGAACAAAAACGTATTCCTCACTCTATAGGGTTAAAACCACCATCTAGCCCGCCTGGGCCCCTCTTGCCTCCCTAAAAACAGCAAAATCTGTTATTCAAGCCTGAAGCTGCAGGCTTTGTCCCTGTTTCCTTTTGACCTGCCTACTGCTTGCCGACATCAGCAGAAGTGGTAGCCTGATCCAATCACAATGCTTCCCCATAGGATTGGCTGAGACTGACAAAGGGGCACATCAGTGGCAGAACCAGCACAATTCAAACCCAGCCCTGGCCAATCAGTATCTTCTCATAGAGATGACTTGAATCAGTGCATCTCTATGAGGAAAGTTCAGTGTCTGCGTGCAGAGGGTGGAGACACTGAATGTTTGGATGCATTTCAGGCAGCCATGACCCAGGAAGGATCTCTAACAGCCATCTAAGGAGTGGCCAGTGATGTTATCACTAGGCTGTAATGTAAACACTGCATTTTCTCTGAAAAGACAGTGTTTATAGCAAAAAGCCTGAAGGTAATGATTCTACTCACCAGAACATATTCAATAAGCTGTAGTTGTTCTGGTGACTATAGTGTCCCTTTAAAACCATTTTAGATTTTATTCTTTCCCTTCAGCCCCTATCCCCCTATTACAGCCCCTAACCTCCAATTGCAGACATTATTCTCCACAACATTTCCTCCCCCTATATTACTGCCCCATATCCACCACTATACCCCTACTATAGCCCTATATTTCCCACTACACCATCTACTACAGCTCCATATGCCCAACTACAGACCCTAACCCCCTATTTCCCACTACTACTGCCCCATACCTTTTAATTACAGTCCCCAACTCCCCAATGAGAGCCCATATACTCCCAATAACAGCACTGTCTCTTACTAAAGCCCCCTATCCCACGACTACATCCCACTATCCACACTACAGCCCCTATTTCCCTTCTACAGCCTGCACCCCTCCACTACAGCACCTAACCCACAAATTACTGCCACTATCCCCCCACTACAGCAACTAGCCCACCTACTACAGACCATACCCCCTTTTAGTTCTAAATATCCTTCTACAGCTCTATATCTCCTACTACAGATTCTACACTTCAGCCACCTATCCCCCCACTACAACTCCCTATATCACATTATAGCTGCTATCTCCCCACTACAGCCTCTGTCTCCCCACTACATCTTCTAACCCCCCACTACATCCCCTAACCTGCCACCACAGCCTCTAATCCTCTACTACAGCCTGTAACACCCCACAACAGCCCCTAGCTTCCCACTACAGTCCCCATCCCCTAATACAGCACTATCATCCCAACTACAGCCCCTTTCCCCTAAACTACATTCACCTATCACCTACACTACAGCCCTAATTTCCCAACTACAGCCCAATACCAGTGCCTGTGTTGAGATATGGTTCTAGATTTGCCCCTGCATTAAATACAGCATTTTCTTTTTATGCATGTCTTACATTGAAAATACAACTAAAGAATATTGTGACACAATAAGGAAAATGTGCATTGTGGGAATTTAAACCACTCACTTTTATCGACAGAAAAAAAACTCACACATTCTCAACAGTAGGGTTCATTTTATGTTTTTCAAACTGTGTATCAAATACTTGAAAATTGATTTTGAAAAGAGACAATCTTTCTTGTAATGGTTTGATTGAATAGTATTTTTTTTTAATCTCACAATGAGTTTAATGTTTTCAGAAGCCATACTCATCAAGCATTTCATGTTCAAAGAACGCTAAAGGCACCCAAACCACTACATCTCAATGAAATATCTCAACAGAGCTTTATAGAATAGAGGGAGTTGACATGTTTACATTCAGGATCTCCCACTTTCATTTGAAATGAAGAATCATGGTTGGGGTGAAGCCACATGTTTTGTAAAAAATCATATAACCCTCATTTTAAAAAGATTGTTTTCCATTGTTTTGGGGAAAAGGGAGGCATCACTCCTGGAATCATTATGGAGGTAGACGCATCAGAAGATTTCTCAAAGACACACTTATGGCAAATGTAAGGTTACAGTTTTTTTTCAGAAATGTTTATGTAAAACTCATCAATCTCAGTATGCCACACCAATTAATAATTTTTTTTTATTTAAATCATTTTTATTTTTGTATCAAAACTGGTAGAACATTGCCTTAAGTGCATCTATGAACAGACCTTCACTGCTCCGGTACCTGGTTAATAGTACTCAAAAACAACTGTAGTTTAGTGCATATAGGATTTCCAGACATCACCATCAGCTCTTAACACTACCAGTAAACAGGAACAATATTAAATCCTACAGACTCAGTAAACACATGATTCCAACATACTTTTCAACTACCTCAAAACATAAAGTTATACTCATCTTCAAAAACGGAATAGATATCCCAGGGGAGAATATATATATGTATACATGTAAAGTAACTCTGTGATCAGATACAAAAGGGTATCAGGACACAGCACAATGCTTATAACAGCCAAGGAATCATTGATGGGTATCTTCTCTTGCCACAGGGCATAAGGAACATTTGTTCAGGAATCAACCACTCAGATACCCACAGCTGCATCTGTCAATCATTGACTGCATCCTGTGAGTCACACTTCCAGAAATAGTCATTAACGTGTGAATTGTTGGGAATTCCAACTGAATTCAAAGTGAATATGACATTTTAGGCCAATTAACTAGACTGGAAATATTAATCTATTAATTCAGTTAGGCTACTTTGGCCCATCAATTGAAATTTGAAATTCCAGACAATAAGCACTAAAGTGAATAATTCTGGTAGATGGAACCGAGATAAATGATCTACACACAGACAGCTGGATATTTAAAACAATGTTCCCGAAATTAGGACACAGTTTACACCATGTTATAGATTGTACAGTCTCATCTAACTTTCAATCCAGCAAATAAGGGGGCCACCTGCAGAATTAAGATTAGGACTCATTAACATTACAGATAACACATAAATATGTATATGCTTAAACTTAGAATTGCGAGGAATTGAAAACCCAACTGCAAAATTAATGCCGACATAGCCAAGTTGTGACTAAAGTGCTGAAATGGAGAATTTTTCTGAATAAGCTGTTGCCTTCATTTTGCCATTCAGAATTCAATTCCCCATCATTTAGATTTATATTGTAATCTTCAATTTAGTGTTCAACATGAATTATTCATTTTTTTTGCAACTAGTTCTATATATAAAAAAAAGCACATGTATTTTGATATTTTCTCAATAAGGAGTTTTTATTTATGTACAGCCCCGAGGAGCATCTGTAGTAATTTCCATATTCACATCTATAGTGCCATTACATAATTGTGTAAAGTAAATCTAAGCCTTAAAAACATGGGGAAAAAAAACCATGAAATTAACACTGTACGCAGCATAGTGACTAGGATTTCCGTCTTGAAACGACACAGGGGTTTATTTTCTAAATTATGAATTCTAGGGAGTTGAAACCAAATTGCAAAAATTAGGCTAAAATAGTTACATTTTTTTCTTTTCTATAAATTCATCTTTATTAAAATTTTATACATGCAAAAAACAGTTGACATCTTTTTTGTGTTTATAGACAAATTAAGTCACATTTAGTAAACATGGGCATCATATATATGAGAAATAAGTTAAATATATATATATATATATATATATATATATATTATGTATACCCTTAGATTTTCTTATAAATAAAAAAAAAGAAGGAAACATAATAAAAGCCTTCATCGGAGAATAGAATGTCAAAAAAACGAAAAAAAACCCTCAAACTTCGCATCCTTGGGGAAGAGAGAGGGAAAGGTTTGGTCTCTACCACAAACGTGCCTAAGGCCCTTTTCCTAAGCCTTGGGGGTAGTTAAAGACGTTCCATTTTATCCAACCAATTATCTCATATGCCATTAGTTCGAGTCTTAACATTGGCTGGGGTTAAAATAACTCTTTCCATTTTTAATTGGTAGTTGAGTTGAGCTTTAATAGTATACCAATCTGGAATGATTTGATTTTTCCAGTTTCTTGCTATTACAATTTTCACTGCTGTAAAAACATATAAGAGTAGTATTAAATAATGTTTTTTTTATTTTGGGGCAGGTTAAGGTGAAAAGGCTCTGTACTAAAGGGTATATTCCACCCCAACTTATTTTGAATCTCTGCCCAGAACTCATTGATACCAGAACAGGTCCACCACATATGTAGATAATCAGCTTCTTGTTCTCCACATTTCCATCAAATGAATGGTGCGCTTGGATATATATTTAATTTTTTTATGGGTTAAGTTCCATCAAAGTAGCTTATATTGGAGTTCATTTAAATTCAAGCAGTGAATATTCTTTCTTGTATTAATCAGTGAGTTATAGCAATCTTTGAAAGTGATAGAAAATCTCAGTTCTTGTGTTGATTTTTGTAAGTCTATCGAGATTTGAATTCTCCGCTGTTTTATTAATAATGCATTGCAAGTAGAAATTCATTTTTTTTTTTGTATCTTTTCTATTTGTGACTTGGTCAAATAATTGAAGATTCTTCCTTTCAGGTCCAGTTATTAAATATTTTAATAGAAATGCTCGAACTTTAAGATACTTTAAAATACCAGTAGTTAAAATGTGAGCATAACAAAGTTGTAGAATGTTCCTAATTCTACTATCACTGTCAACATTTTCAAATTTA